TAACGAAGATGTTAAACAGCACCAGGTTTAGTGGGTCAGTGGTGGCCTTGGCAGCGTTGGGTCAGCAGCTAGAGTCAAACTTTTAAAGGTCTTTCCAGACCTAAACAATTCTGTGATTCTATAAATTAGCCTACAATTACAATCAATTACAGGCAGACTGAACTTTCACTTTTGCTGTGCTGTTAAGCCAGCAGCAGGAACACGTTAAGCATGCGTTGGTGGGAGCAAAAGTAAACTTGAGTATCAAAGATTCCGGGCCATAACTTTAACGTGGTCGGGAGGCCAATGCAGCGTTTCAAACAGGGAAGAAAGTGGTTTTCCAGCCGGGAAAGTAGGGAGCATTCGGGATGAGCTTCGTTCTTACCTTTTGGAGCACTCGGTGTCTTTGACACAGCCGGCGCAGCCATTTTCTTCCGCTTCGGCACTCGTTTTCTCCCTCGGGATCCCACCTGACCTCCTGGAAGCCATAAACGAGCGTTAACAGGAAGGAACTTTGGGTTAAAAGGTGGTTTGTTCCTCCTGACACCAACCCCGCGGGCGAGGCTCCCCGGCACAGCCCCGGTGCTACGGGGAAGGCCCCCCAGAAGCGCTCTGACTGCTCACCGCCACCGCTGCCAGCTGCCTTCCTCTACAGCTCTCCCCAGCGCGTTCACACCGGCATCACGGCCACAAAGCCCTCCGTTTCCTTAAAACACAACCCACGGCGTTTTCCCAAACTCCTCTCTCTGCAGGTGCAAAAGCAGCGCTTCCGCTCCTTTCCCAAACCAGCCAACACCGATGGAACGCACCACCAGGCTAACAGCTCCACGGAGCTCAGGGCCATCGCTGGAAGAGTTTCTGGAGACAAGGACTTGGGCACTCTCCTCTGCTACAGGATCAACAGGGCGGCTGGTTTTACACTATCAAAGCATTCCACCCCGGTGATCCACCCATCAAAAACACCTGTTTTCTTCCTAATTCTCCGTTTAAATAATCTAGACACCCGCGTGCCCTGAACCAGCTTAGCGCCATCAATCCTCCCCCTTCACAGTGACACGGCAGAAGCGGTCGAAGGGATGCCACAGTCGGCGTCGCTCCTGCACCCCCGCGACGTTCCAAGCGGATCCTGAGCACGTCACCGCGCGGCTGCAGCGGCGGTCTCTCCTCTGAACTGCTGCCCCCAGGCATTCAATAAAGCATTCCCTATTCTGCTGCCGGAATCAGCTCTAAGACTCAAGGAATAAAATTTTACCTGCTTTAAGCTCTCCTTCCCAGTTTTCTGGTTCCGTTTCTCAAACTCAGGAGTCCTTTCCCAAGCTCACCTCTTTTGCCTGAGGGTTTTCCTATCCAGGGAGGAACTAAAATCACTTATTTACTGTGTATCCGCTGTATTTACAGTAACTTGTCACTGCCCCTCACACCAACCCAAGGGTGTGGATATTTTAAGAGGCCTTTGCACATTAACTTCCCAACACAACCATCGGCTGCCTTTTCAGTAAACGCTTTTGTTAACTACAGGAAGCTTATGGACTATAAACAATCTATCATATTGAAATATTTTTTGGTCTGTATAGTCAGGGAATCCCTTTCCTAATGTTTATAGGAACTGGATTTTCAAGGGCGCTGCTTCAGGCAAGGTATCTGCTGCTTCTGCAGCTCCTCCTCGCCTTTACCACTCCGCCTGCCTCTGCCACACAGGGAGAGCGAGCCGGAGGCAAAGCTCCCCCCGAGCACCACAACAGGGACCCTTCAGCCCCGCTCTGGCCAAACTCCCTTTCTGTGGCGGCTGGACGCAGCTCTCCCTGCGCGGCCCTGCCTCAGAACTGCCTTAACCCTTGCCAATTCCATGCTACAGGTGGTGTTCAACGTTCCTTCTCTCGATCCAGCTCCGAACCTGCTACCTCTTGCATCCGTGTGCCTATAACACTTGACCCCCTTGTTCTAATGAAGTTTGGGCCCATAATTAGACTTCAAACCGTTCCGTGTTAGGCAGCTGAGCAGACCTCGCTTGAAAGGCGAGGAGAGAGATCCTGCCCCGCTTCAGCCACCACGAACACCGAGGGAACGTTTCCAACCGACGCTGCTTAACTGTCCACGGGAAGAGGGACGCGCTGCAAAACGTCCCGGGAAAACCCCGACCCTCAGGCCGCTCTTCACGCGCAGACTCCGTTCCTTCCCCCCAGCACCTCTTTCCTTGACATTGTCAGAGATTTGGGATGTTCAGTTTCCTCAGCTGGCTACCAGGATCGCTCTGTCCCTTCCCTGCGCACCGCTAACGAGCACCTTATCCTCCACCTCCCCTCTGGACGCTACGACAGGTTCCTTACCTTTTGACTTCGGGATTGCAGTGATTTTTTCTTCTGGATTCCTATCTCCTAGAATTTCCATTGGTTCTGGTCCTGCAACAGCCACAGTATCTTTTTTTTCTGGTCCTGCAGCAGCAGCCGTTTCTCCTTTTACTGGTCCTGCAACAGCGACGACGTCTTCATCCTCCTTCTGTTTCTTCCCCGGGAGAGCATTTTCTTCTTCCTCATCCTCCTCTCCAATTTCATCGACCGTAACAAAGTTTAGTTCCTCTTTGAGACGATTAAAATCGGCCAGAAAATCATCATCTTCTTCGTTAACTTCATCCAAAGTCATTAGGGGGTTTTCTTCGTTGTCCTCTTGGATCTCATCCACCGTCACTAAAGCACTGGGATCGTCAGGGACCTGGGAGGAGGCACCATCTCCGGCGTCCTCGGCGGCCACCTTCTCCCCCTCCCGGTGTTTCAGCACCTCCTCCATATTCAGCTCCGTAGGTTCGTTGAGCGGTAGCTCTTCCACTTCACCGATTTCGTCGACGGTGACCAAGGGTTCGGCTTTCAAACCCTGCTCCTCAAACCCTGACCTAGGCACACCTTTCTGAGCACCGAGCTCCTCCTGCTCACACAGCTCATCCAAAGTGACCAGCGCCCGCGGATCCTTCACCGCTTCCGACATCAGTTCTTCCTCTTCCATCACTTCATCCACTACAACCAGGCTCTGGGGGTCGCTGAGCACTTCTAGGTTAGCGACTCCCAGCAGCTGCGCGGCCGCATCCTCCTCCTCCCCGATCTCGTCCAACGTGACGAAAGACTGCTTGCTTCCAGCGACGCGTGCCGCAGAGCCCTTCCTTTTTTTCCTCTTGGGATTGGGTTCCAAAGGGTTTTTAGCAACTTTTTTCTTCCTCTTCAGAGGATTTCGCCGTTTTTTAACAGGAGACTCGATGTCCTCTACGACCTCGTCCACGGTAACGAATTCATCCAGGTTAAACAGAAACAGCTCTTCATCCTAGGAAGGGTAAAACATGAACACAGCGGAGTTCAACACGTACCAGGGACAAAACCACCTCCACCCACAGGGTGCGCGGAAACACGTCTGCGCGCTGAAGCTGGCTGAAGGGGCAGGGAAAGGCAACTTAAGGGCAGAAGAACTTTTCAGGCCTCCAGTCTCACACAGAGAAGTTTTGGCCAGCGGCACCTGCGCCGAGTCGACAGATCTCGTTCCGAAAGCCCCACGCAGAGGGTGAACAGACTGGATCCAGGCCTGTGGCAAGAACCGCCCGCTGCCCTGAACACTCGGCGTGTGGTGAGGACAACTAGTGAAAAGCCCAGCACCTCCAGAGTACCCTTCAAAACCCTATGACCTTGTGTCCCTTCCCTGAGCCGAAACCGTTGGCCGCTGCTACCCGCCAGGAGACGGCCTTCGAGGTTCCAATCCAGCATCCGTGTCCCCATCACTCCCTGTTTTATCCTGCCTCTTGGGCATCACTCTCCTGACAAACATCTCTGTTTCACAGGGGTTTTCCAACGGGCCTGCGCTCCAGCCCAGGAAAGGGCTCCCTGTCCCTGCACCTCCTCTTCTTTCTGCTTAACCAACATGTCCAAGAAGATCATTTTCCACCTTCTGTTACGGCTCCTCCCAAGCCACCACCTTTCTTGGGGGCCGGGAGGAAGCTCCAGCTTTTGGGCA